TTCTTTTCTACTATTGGCACATAGGCCTAAGAGGCAAATGGAACAAAATATATGAGATCAAGATTGTGTTAGAAATTCAGGCTGTATGACCATCAAATTTATGCCCCCTCCTAACCCATGAGGGTTTAAAGCAATAATAATAAGAACAATTTATTGAATAAGTGTTATGCCAAATACCTTTATAAACAAGGTATAAAATCTTTTATACTAGAAATTACTTAATATGATTGGTCGTATTTTCTCTCTCTTTTTACAAATGAGAATATTATATCATTAAGAAGTTAAATAACTTCAAAAGCTTGATAGCTAGGAGCTATAGAGAACTCAAATTACTACACATGAAAAAAGCCAACAATCCCATATATCAATAGGCAAGAGACATGAATAGAACCTTCTTTAAAGAAGACAAATGAATGGCTAATAAACATATGAAAAAATGCTCAGCATCCCTAATTATTAGAGAAATACAAATCAAAACCACCCTGAGATACCATCTAACCCCAGTGAGAACGGCCCACATCACAAAATCTCAAAACTGCAGATGCTGGCATGGATGTGGAGAGAAAGGAACACTTTTACACTGCTGGTGGGACTGCAAACTAATACAACCTTTTGGGAAGGAAGTATGGAATATTCTCAAAGAACTCAAGCTAGACCTCCCACTTGATCCTGCAATCCCATTACTGGGCTTTTACCCAGAAGGAAAAAAATCCTTTTATCATAAGGACACTTGCACTAGCCTGTTTCTTGTAGCTCAATTTACAATTGCCAAAATGTGGAAACAGCTTAAATGCACACCAACCCAGGAATGGATTAACAAGCTGTGGTACATGTATACCATGGAATACTACTCAGCCATTAAAAAAACGGAGACTTTACAGCCTTTGTATTAACATAGATGGAAGTGGAACACATTATTCTTAGTAAGGCATCACAAGAATGGAGAAGCATGAATCCTATGTACTCAATTTTGATATGAGGACAATTAATGACAAGGGGAAGGGGTGATCAGAGAGAGGAAGGAGGAGGGAGGAGTGGGGAAGGGATTAGCAGAGAGAGGGAAGGAGCGGGGGGTGGGGTCTTGGTATGTGCCATTTTGGGGGGCAGGACGCAAGATAAAATTGTAAGAGGGACTTTACCTAACAAATCCAATCAGTGAAACCTGGTTTCTTGTACTCTCACTAACCCCAACAATAAATTATAAAAAAAAAAAAGTTGAATAACTAGTTCATGCCTGTCTCTAGGCTAGAGTCCATTTCCTTAATCATCAATAATAATAGCTAATAAATATTAGCTGCTTGCTGTGTGAGAGGCATCATGATAAACACTTTACAGGTATTGACTCATTTAATCTTCACAACAAAGCTACATGGTAGGCATTGTTTATACTCTGCCTCTTTACAGATGAGAAAACTGAACCACAGAGACCCAAGATCTCACAGCTACTAAGGGCAGAGCCAGAGTCTGAATCCACACAGTGGCTCCTGAGCCCTCACTCATTACACCAGGCCCCGCAGTTTCTCTGAGAAGGAGGACAAATGGTTGTATTTGTTAGGTAAATCAAGCAAAGGCCCCAACTGAGTCTTTCCCTCCAACAACTCTTTAAAATGAAAAGTACATTTTTATTTTGTTTGATTTTCTTTTTTCTGAGACAGAGTTTCCCTTTGTTGCCCTCGGTAGAGTGCTGTGCCATCACAGCTCACAGCAACCTCCAACTCCTGAGCTCAAGTGATTTCTCTTGCCTCAGCTTCCCAAATAGCTGGGACTACAGGTGCCTGCCACAACTCCCAGCTGTTTTTCTTTTTGTTGCAATTGTTGTTGTTGTCTAGCTGATCTGGGCTGAGTTCGCACCCACCACCCTCGGTGTATGGTGCTGGTGCAACCACTGTGCTACAGGTGCTGAGCCTTGTTTGATTTTTTTATGCTTCCCTTGGCACCTGGCTCTGCTAACCTGTCACGATCCTGCTCCTCTCTCATTTTCCCACTTGGACTTCTCAGGGCTGTGTCATGTAAGTGTCCACAGTGGTGATAAACAGAACTGCCTAGGTGCCCGGCAGAGAGGACAGGGCAGCTGACCACCTCCCTGGAGCTGTAGTGAGCACTTCAGAGCTTGAGCCAGGATCTTCTGAAAAGAGTGACTTCACCTGGATTCTTTAATCCATTGGTGTCTATTGATGTGGGCTTGAATCCTGCCTTTTAGTCTTGATTTCTTGACTTTGGGCAAGTTTTAAGAGCTCATTTCACTTTAGTTTCTTTGTCTTTAAAAAGGAAGTTAAGATAGGTGGCACTTGTGGCTCAAAGTAGTAGGGTGGTGGCCCCCTATACCAGAGGTGGCAGGTTCAAACCTGGCCCTGACCAAAAACTGCCAAAAAAAGAAAAAAAAAGTGAGTTAAGACTAGTCTTATAGTGTTTTTGATGGTACAAGTAAACTCATGGAAGTAAATAATAATAATATCTAACACTTACTAAAGTGCCTACTCTGTGTCATAAAAGTAATTTATATGAATTAACTAACACTAATCACAGCATGGCCCAGGTACTGCTACTATAGCCCTTTATAGTTCTGGAACTGAAACACAGAAGGGCTAAGGTATTTGCCCACAGTCCCTCAGAAGAAACCAGAGACACTGAAGCATCCTAGTCCCAGCCTGTGCTCCCAAGCACTGTGATCTACTGAACTTGCACAAATGCTTTCTTTTTCACTCCTACCTTTCCTTCTTTTCTTTCCTCCTTCTTTTTCTTTTTTTTTAACAGGAAGAATCTTTTCTAACCTTTTCTTTGCAAACTGCAGTGCTCTAGCTAAACTTGAAGGGCTCTGGATGACTGAGGGTGTCCTAACCCAGGTCTGGACTAGTTCTAAGTGCCAGTTTTGGCTCTGACTAGCTTCGTGACCTTGGGAAAGAAGTTTCCCCTCCTTGAGTCCCACATTTCTCCTCTATGAAAAGTTGAGGGTGGTGTACAAGTTAATTTCCAAGACCCTTTCCAGCTCTCACATTCCTCACGTCTATGATTCTGTGATTAAGTTCCTGGAAGGTTTAAGTACTGATAAAAGTGCCATTAAGTTCTGTATACTCAGCACTGGCAGCCGTCTGTTACCTAAGATACCTTGCCCTCGCAGTTCTGGGGTGGGGGCTGGGGCAGGGTGTCTGGCAATTGTGTGTTGAGCTGCAGACTAGTGAGAACCGCCCAGTGCTGAGCAGTGTAACTGAGTTTCCTCTGATTCCTGTGTCCAGGTGCACTGAGACTAATGACAGTTTCCTAACAAGATGACCTTGTGCAGTAAGTTTCTCAGGCAAGGAACTGGAGATAACTGAGACAGGACCAAATGCATCTTGCACAGTGAAACTTGGAAGACAAACCTATTTGGGTGATCAACTGGTTGACTTGGGCCTCAGGTCAGAGTGAGAGAAAGTGGAAAGCCGCCATGGCTGCCGGGAGGCTCTGGCTGTGAAGAGGATAAGTGACTATTTGGCCCACAAGGGTTAGTCATCCACCTGCCTGAAGGCACAGGGCTAGGAGTTTAGAGTCTGTGACATGCTGGGACAGACATACTTTGGGCCACGTGTCCCCTTTTCTCATGCCTCAGCTCTCAGAAATCTGCTTCCCTTGGTGCCAAGTCGTATAGGTAGAATTTGGCTTATCCTCCACTCACCCCTACCACCACCAACAAATACGACGAGAAATTAATCAGAGAAAAAGTATTCTCAAACGCTGGTCTGATCTTAGTTTGTTAATTGAGCTCCTATTGTGTTCCAGGTACCGTCTGAATCACCCAGGATACTCAGACAACTGAGATAGGGCCTTTACCCTCAACGAGGTGACCTCTCATTATAAAATTGTAAAGTCGGTTCTGAGAGGTAGCAGCGAGATAGCATGGCCATACATAACCCGTCTGAGGGCTCACCATGCGCCGGCTTCCGCTTAGGACTTTCAGCTCTCCCAGGGGAAAGAGTCCACTCGTTGGGTTGGCTGCCTGTTGTCTGTGTGACTGTGGACAAGTCATTTACTCCCCTCTTGCATATCAATTTCTAAAGCTGTAATAAGGGGATAATATGTATATAAAAGAGCAAAGTAGTATGCAATTTTAATGCCTTTTTGGGTCAGTTGTGAATTTACAAACAAATGCATATAAAGCACCAGACTAAAGGAGGTATTTGGAAAGCGGCCCTGTGATTATTGGCAGACTGGATTTCTTTGTGTTCCTGGGGAAGACTGACAGGTGTGCCTATACTTTTGCCTCCTCAGAGCCCGGAACACCACAGGGAAAGCCAGATCGTCACCAGAGTCTGCGAATGGCAAACCTCACAAAGCTGAAATGGGAGAAGGGACGAAGACGCACTCAGCGGAGACTTGGATGAGCTCCTTGGCTTGTGGCAGAGCAACTGGACAGAAAGATACGCAAAGACACAGACACAGAAGGCCCGAATAACATAATAAATCTACAGATCAAACTGCACGGTGTTCCGCCTTCATATTCTGAACACAGAGAAACAGCTTCTTTCAAGAGAGCACGGGACATTCACAAGAGTTTCCGGAAGGGACAAGGACAGATGACATAGATTTCAATGCAACGAAAACATACAGGAAAGACAAAAGAACATAAATCATTGGGTAAGGGTCAAAGAAGATCAAAGGAAATTAAATGATACCAATAATGCTATATTACTAACCACACAGCTAACGGTGGCAGAGCTGAGGCTGCTGGACCTGAGCCTCCCAGGTCATTCAGCTACGAACTGGTTTGAGAGCCCAGACTCATCTCCCTGCACCTCAGTTTCCCCTTCTGGCGAGTAGCCCTGAGGGCTCCCCCAGGTTCGGTTCTACTTAGGGTTTGTAGGCGGAGTGGCGGTGCGAGCCTGCCGCGCGCGAGCCAAGGACTTTGCGCGAAGTCCGGAGGGTGCAAGTGCCGAGGGGCGGCAGCAGAGGGCGCTGTGTCGCCAGCCCGGCCCCGCCTGCCATTGGTCCCGGCTGGGGCGCGGGGCGCAGAGTCGGTGCAAAGTGACAAGTTGGGCGAGTGCGAAAGCGGGAGCAGGCGCCGCGCGGCCACCGAGGGAGCCCCGGACGGCAGCCCCCGGGAGCAGGGTGCGCTCTCCTGAGCCCGAGCCGGGCAGACTCGCCGCCCTCTAGTGGGACCCGGACAGTTCGGCGCTGACCGGCTGGGAAGGGGAGGCTACCTCCGGGGGCCGGAGAGGGACTGCCCTCCCGGGTTCCTGAGCCGGCCGGCCCGAGGCGAGGGAGCAGGTTAGAGGGACAAAGGGCTTTGTAAACGCTCCCGGCATCCTGTGAGGGCGGCGGCCGGGACGAAGTGGCCAGGAGCCCGCGGAGAGCCCGTGGATGTTCTGCGCGCGGCCTGGGAGCCGCCGCCGCGAGAGGAGGAATGCACCGGCCGCGCCGCCGCGGGACGCCCCTGCCGCTGCTGGCCGCGCTGCTGCTGGCCGCGCGCGGGGCTGCCGCCCAAGGTAAGAGGTCCCGGCGCGCCCGTGGTCCCCAGGCGCCCGGCCCCGGCCCTCTGCGACCCTCCCGGGGGCCCCACGCTCCGTGCACGGGAAGCGCCGCGCCGCCTCGCTGGCCGGCCGGGGACCGCGAGGGGCTCCCAGCGCGGGGGTGGGGCGCGGATCGGTCCCGGAGCCCCGCTGCGGGCCGGGGCGCGGCGTGAACTTTTTCCTGGCGCCTAGCGGCGGGTGTCAGCGCTGACGGGAAGCGTGGGGCGGTTTGGGAGTCCTGGGGCGATCGGAGACTTCCGTGCTGGTCGTCCCGCCATGTCTCCCGGGATCCCTGACGCGCCTCGTCGGTGTTCAGGGGAGTCTGTCCTGTCCCCAAAGAGCGAGCCGTCCCGGAAAGCTCGGTCCAGGACAGAGTTCGTATTTTCAGCGGAGCCTGCGAGAGCCCAGGCGGCCCGCAGACCCACGCAAACAAAAGCCTGGTCCTCCGGGCTCTGGCGGCCTCGCGTCTCCACCGCTCGCGGCCCTCCCGGGTCCCCATGGAGGCTGAAACGTGTGTGCCGCTGCCGCCGCGGCTACTTTGTGCAAACTGCTGTCAAAGGTGGCCTGCAGCTCCAGAGTGCCCTGGGTGTGCACGTGTGTGTGCGTGAGTGCGTGTTACAAATTCGGGGGAGAGCCCTCTGCGTACACTTGATTTTGGCAATCTCCAAATACAATCGCCACGGTTGGAGAGAGACTTCGCCGCAAGCCCGGGCGTCTTAGCTCGCTGCGGGAATCGGGGACTCTCGCTGCGTCCCAGCCCGGACACAATGAGAGGGAAGAGTCCGGCTGCGCCTGTGGAGACAACCGATTCATTCTTTGGAGGCTGGAGGGGGAAAGTTGATTCAAGTCTCCGGGGTCGTGGGCCTCACTTTTAACATGCATCCTTTGAGGGGTTCCTGGAGCCCTTGCATTCTGTGCCCCCCCCCCCCAGCCCAAACCTGTGCTGAGAAATAGGTCTCAGCTCTTTTATTATGCATCTTCCAAGGGAGCTCCCATAGCTTAGGAAAAGAAAAGGCGGTGGGGCTGCTTAGCAGTTGAGAGGGACAAGAGCTATTCACTACTCGGACTATGAATACAGAATTAGTTTTTACTAAAAGTTCGCTAATAACTTTCTCGGTAGAACACATGCTCTGGAAGGAAGTTGGTGCGAATTTTGATTTCTTGGAGATGATTTTTGGGAAATGGGAGCAGCGTTCTCTGAGGATGACTTCTGAAACGGATCCTACCATGTGGTTGTGCTAATCTGGAGGCTCCTCGGGGTAAATGCTGCTCCTAATTGTAATTAAGATGCGCGTCAGCGGGGAGTGCACCTTCGCGTTGAAAAGTCCTAATGAAATGTAAACATTTGGTCACGTGGATGTTTTGCTGGGTGAGCCAAACAGCTGGCTCTGTGCCACAACACCTGGGTGAAAAGTGAAAAATGTGCCATGCTGCCTACATAATATAAACGTCCTTCTGAAGTTTTGAAATCGGGTTGCCCAGCAAATTGAGGTGGGGATAAACAGGGCGATTCGAAGGTAGGGCTCCTGGCTTGGGGCCTCGATTAATTCAGTTATTTTTCTCCCTGTGTTCCTTGACTTTGTACTTAACCTTTCAACAGTGGTTGCTTTAAATCATAGCACCTGGGGGAAGAGGGGGATCACCTGCCTTTTAATAAATGTGTATGCAATGGTTTTGCCCTTGTTAGAGGCAGCTATCCAAATTCTGCCTCCTTCAACTGTTTACAAGCTTGTACAATTTTTTTGAAAGTATTGCCTGTTGCATACTCTTTAATAATGAGCTCAAATATTTTATTATTGTCTTATTTCTTGTCTTATAAAACTCTTGTCATTTTTGTGAATGTTTGATTTTTTTCTGGTTTCTGACTTTTTCCTCTGAGGAAACCACCAAGCGTTCCTAAGGTGACTGAGCTAGTGGCTCTGGAAATCTGCATAAGGGGAAATATGTTTTATTTATTTATTAAAAACAAATGCTCAGCATTTTTCCTATCACTTTTCTATTTTGCT